ATTTTGGATGAAATATTAAAAGTCCAGAGGTCTTGTCGGCTAGTGAACACAAATAAGGCAGAGGCTAAAATGTAGAAGACAGATAACCATCATTTACAAGCAGTTACTCATATTTCAATCATTCTTGTAAGAGCAAAAAGGACCAAACAAATTATAACCATGTTGAACAAGCATTGTTTATTTAAGCTTCTTCGTCTCTGAAAAAGAGAATAATTCAGCAACATCTGTCCAACACATCACAGCGTGAATTTCCTTTGTTGTATTTATCATAGTGGTTGAGATGATCACCGCTGTGCATCAAAAGGCATCAGTTTCTTTGACGGTCTATGAACTCATATGTAAGCATGTGAGTTACAAAATAAGGTATGAACAAAACCTTCACAGTGACGATTTCCAAATGTTATGCATTTTATTCCTAGAAATCACCAGCACAATTCAAAACAATACATGTTAAAATTAAATACAAATGCCATTCAAAACTTGGGTAAGCAGATAACAATGAATAATGGCAGTTTTTATTTTATTTTGTCAAGATTTTTCTTTCTATTCATATATAAAAATTAATAAATTATTTAAAATAAATAAATACATCCATTGGTTCAATGTGGTATTTTCATTGTTTGCGAAAGGCAAGAAAGAGTTAAATACAGTCATCATTAAATGACACAAAGCTAAAATAAAAACAAAATAAACGAGACAAGTCCTGGTGAAACGGCGTGGGGTTGATTAAAATACATGGAAGGATGGAAGATTGACAGAAAAGCTCAAGCATGGGAGCACAGATCCAATTTTCCTCACTATTAAAAAAAGCAGCGTACTATCCTCGTTCCTGCACTGGCAGCTCGGGTAACCTTTAAGGAATGTAGAGGATGACGCCAGAATTATTTTGGGCCGTGATTCAGATGTTAAAATTAGCAAAAAAGGTTGCAGGGTAGATTACCAAGGAGAACACGTAGACAGTTGTGCTCTCGACCTAGATGTAGTTCTTGTGTAGCGAGACCATGAAAAGCGCCGATTTCAGCCAAGGCAAGTGTCTGCTAACAATCTGCTCTTCTAAATTTACTGCACATATGGTGTGTTGGGAAATATCTGAGTATGTATTGTGTGGCGTAGACCTCCTCTCCATAAGACTCTTTTCTCTCCTGTCCACTTTAGCTGACCAGGTAAAATTTGTAATTTAGAAAAAATTAAATCTTAGTGTAGAGTAAAGCGTCTTTCTCAAAACAATAACCTAATCTCTTCAAATAAATAGTTTTCTGACATTCCAGATTGTTGCAGCATTTTGTCTAAATGAAAGTAATCTGCAGCTCCACTGGACTGTGTTACATGAAACAAAGGCGTACATAATACGTCTTCAGACTGTACAGTAAAGGTCATTTTATTTATATAGCACATTTTCAGCAACAAGGCAATACAAAGTGCTTTACGGGAATTAAAAGGAAATATAAACAAAATAACAAACCAAAGGAAAAAGCAAAAGAAGAAAAGCTAAAAATGTTCCAAAGTAAATAAACTAGATACTCCTATTCAGGGTTGCTAGATAAGTATAAGTAAGTATGCTCTGGTCTAATTCCTTTTCTACAAAGTAATTGCTAAGGTAGTTTTTCTGGATTCTAAGTTCTAATCCCTGTTGTGGGTTGCTAAATAAGTGTAAGCAAGTAAGTATTCTCTGGACTTTCTAAGTAATTCACGTTTCATGTCAAAGTTCTTAATATTTTTGTCACCATGTGAAAGCATTTTATGTCAGCAATACTTTTTTGGAATGAGCAAAACATCACAACACAGTTTGTTTGAGTCGAGATGAGAATTGTGGACAAAATTTCACATCGGTGAAACTCTGGCATCAGAGACAATGATCTTTAACGTCTTTGCTCCCTTTAAGCTTATTTGCAGCATGGTGTCATTTGCAGCAGTAAAATAAAAAAAAAATAAAAAATTAAATGTAGAGATTTGTTGATTCTTGCAGATTTCTGAAAAACTGGCTGAATTTATTGATGCGGTTTGGAGTCTAAAGGGTGACATGAAAAGCTGCGGTGGGCCAGATTTGGCCCCCGGGCCTTGAGTTTGAAACCTGTGGTACAAGTAGATGGGAGCCATTCCATTCAACACTTTCCAGGCTATGGGCATTGACTTGAAGTTGATGTAGGTGGTTAAGGGTAACCAGTGAAGCTCAATGAACCCTGGGATTAGACTTGTCGCCTCGTTTCACAGCACAGGCTGAAATACCAGTAAGAACGGCATTGCAGTAGTCAAGGCAGGAGGTTAGCATAGACGTCATCTGGAGCTGAGCTTTGTGTTGGATCAGGTTAGATGTTGTTCTGGGTTCATTCTGAGCATCTGGGTGTGTTGATGCACTCGATTAAGTACGCCAGCCACTCCTGGGAAGGTTCACCAACCGTTCCAGATTTTCTCCATTCGTGTCTAACCGTTTGCTCCTATCCAAAAGCCTTTTAAATGGTTTTGCTTCTTATTCTTGAATTTCTTCAATACCCAGCATAATGTGTTTGTTTTTAAGATTATTTGGTCTGCTTCAGGTCGCCAAACAGGTTCTACTTAAGTAATTTCTTGATTCTACAGTTGAGACAGTCAGACCTAGGTGTGGCTTGTGAAAAAGAACACAAAATATGAGCTTAACGACACTTAGTTTAATGTTTTTAAAAAAAGGAGGGGCGTTATATTTTCACGTGGGAACAAGTTGGCTTAGAAATCTTGATTCTCGTATTCACTGAAATCATTTGAAAATGGCTTTTTATGTTTGCTCATTATTTCTGACTGATCAGTGAAAGTTGTTTTACGGACTACTAAAGATGAATATGTCCAGCACAGATACAGCAATTCCTAACAGGTTTTCAAACTTTCTTCTTTTTAATAATTTGCCTATGAATCCAGATGAGCCACATCTGAAAGGCTAAAGTAAAGCAGGTAGTGCAATTCTTAAAATCACCAAGAAAAGGGCCTGAGGTGGCAAAAAAAAAAGAAGCCATTTTTTATTTGCCCTGCATGTTAACTGCAGGCACTTTCCCATAGAAAGTATCTTTAATTACACAAAAGTGGAGCAGGAAGGACAGCTTAGCCTGAGGGGGGGAAGGCTGTGAAAGCAGAGCTGAAGCTCAACATATGCACCAGGGAAATCAGTTCTCTGCCCCTGACTGTGGGAGGGAGGGAAAAGGCTGCACTCCTAGATCAATGAGGAGAAAGAAGAGCCTGCAGGTACTTCTGGGTTTATGTTGTATAAAGATGCTCTTCAACCTGCCTTCAATGCTCAAACACTCATGGAGCATGCACTGGGTCGTCTGCAGCTTCTTCTCGTGTGCACCTCCTCTTAAGTGACACTTAGGCAATCAGCAGCGATGGATCCAGCCATCATGATGTGCGCCTCCATATGCCACAGCAGCTTAGCGAAAGGTCACTGGAGCAGATTTGGTCTCAGTGACTCACTACCGCGGACAAAAACATCAGAACCGCAGCATGTCCCCCACTCACGAGAAAGCCTGCGAGTAAGAAGCGGAGCTGCGGTAATGCATGCACATCGGTTGTACACTCTCAGCCTTAAGCACAGTCACACACAAGGCTAAACTGATGCTAATGTATACAGCATGTACCGTAAAAGTCTCTCTAAAGCCTGGCATATAAATTGTAAAGGCACAGGTTAGATCTGCCTACAGGAAATGAAAATCAGTTTACAGACCTTGAATACAAACTTTCTATTTCTCTGGAGATAAATAAATTTACCAAGAGCTGCTGAATTATAAATAAAATAAAGAGAGCAGCATAAGGTCAACTTGTAATTATGTGATCTTGTGCTTCTGTGCCAGTTTGGAGAGCATTTATTGGAGTAATTGTGGTCTATATTTAAAAGCTAAATATGAATACTTATAATGGATGTTCTACTTAACAGGCCCTCTCTATAACCCTGCATTTCCTTTATCCCTTTATAAGATGATGGCCTCGTTTGAATTGTATAATGTGTTTTTAATTAAATCATTTAGCATTTTAGGGTGAAGCATATTGTGTCAAAAGCTGGGGAAACCTGGATGTCTCAAAGGAGAAATTGGAAACAATGTGCAAATCTGTTGCTACATTCAGTTACTAATGTTTCATTTCAAGCACATTTATCGTGACAAATGGCAAGAAAAACCACAAAAGGACACAAGTAATTATAATTACAGTCAGTTAACAATCAGTCCTCATAAAAATCAGATATAGTGCAATTAATTCACTTAGATTGTGTTAATAAAATTCAAGCTTCACAGCACAGCTATCTGGTGCAGGAAGATAGAAAAGAAGCAATTTAAAACTCCAAATGTGAAAGTTGCTGTGCGTTACTGAGGACATTGCTGCAATTTTATGCATCAATGTTTATCCAAATAAGATTTTCTGGTGCCTTATGTAACATCTGCGTGGGACATGTGTGTTTTTCTAGGTTTGTTTTAGGTTTTGAGAGATAATGAAAGCTTGTGGCATTGTCTTTTTCCAACCTAACTGCTTCAAACTTCTCAACAAATTTATCCCTGAGCCGTCTGATGTTCTTATCGGTGCTGCTGCTTCTTTTTAATTACTAATGTTGTCCAACAAAACCCTCAGGCCAAGCAGAACATCTGGGTTTATACAGAGATCAAACTACACAGGTGGACTCTTGTTAGTGTGTAGGTGGCTTGGTCTATCACATGCAACGTCAAGAAACAATGTGGTTTCAATGTGACAAATCTGAACAGGTTCATGGTGTCATCTTTCACCTCACCTCATTGTTTTAAGCGTCTTTATACTTCCTTTTAGCTTAAGCTGCACCTTAACATATTTAAACAGGACAGTCGGTTTGCGGAGCTTCCTTTGATAAATGAAAAATGTAATTTAATCCTGAGAAAAGCTTGACCAGAGTCGCCTGACATCAAGGCCCTCAAGAACTATACACCCAGCAGGCCTGTTCGGTAATTCTTGCATGCTTCTCTCAGCAGTCATTGTTGAACAAAGATGATTACCAATTCTGTTCTTGTCAATAGAGTGAAGGTAGCACAAGATATGCCCAGAGGCCTCGGCAGCATGGCGAGCCCCGAGGTGCAAGCGGGCAGCTATGAGACCCCCACAGCTTCTGAACTACACAGACTGATGTGGACAAAGAAAGGGGGGAACAACCGTATGGACGAAGTTTACCCCCGGATCTATATAGGAGACATGTGAGAATTAACCGCCTGCTTGAACAATGCATCCAGTCCAATCATTCACAGAATAAGTCAGAACCTTTATATCCAGATATGTTTGTTTATTATTTTGTGGCATTTGTGGCTTTTACTTGGAGTGTCCAGACAGGAACGGGTTAGAGAGAGAAGAGGTCAGACAAGCTGTAAAGGTCACGAGGTTGTAAGCCGAACCCCAGACGGCTGCAAGAACTTTGCATAGAAGGGGCGCTTGCTCTCCCGTCAAGTCATGAGTTGCCTCAGAGCTCCCAGAATGCTGCCACACCAATGGCTTCCAAGCTCTGAAAGCCTCTTTACTGTTTTTGTAACTAAATATTGTCAACCAGCCCAATGAGAAGTCAACCCAGGCTGCCTTTATTTCACCAGGATGACTGCTTCAGATAAAAACTCAACGCTAAATATTTGGCAGCATTCAGGCAGACATAAGATCTGAAATAAATAAATAAGCTTTTATAACACTGTCTGCAATATATTTACAACATATTTAGTACTAAAAACATCACTTCAGGCTAAGGCTGCACATTATGGATAGAAGTTAAAATACTGGTGTACAATCTATTTGGAAATGCTCTGTCATTCCTTTGGCTCAGACACAGGAAAAGAAAACAAGCCAGACCATATTTGCCAGCAATAAAATGTCTTAAGCATTCCCTCTTGCTCAGACTTTAATTGCTCACTATTTGGATGTGTGATAAACACAGACCGAATGGCTTCGGTGACTTCCTCCCCTGCCATTGCCAAACTACAACCAAAGGCAGATTAAAATTTAAAAACAGCGCAGAAAATTGACGTCATCGTTCACAACTCCTCCTTCTGTTCACCATTTGGCCAGGATAAAATTCATCCAGGGAAATTGAGCTCAATGGGACAAACCCTAACCACATGGACCACTGAAGGGAGATGAGGATAAAGCAGAATTGCATAGAAAAGCAATGGGTAGGCTAGTTAAAATGCAAATGCTTAACTGCAGACAGTCGGGGAGTCCATTGCTTTACTGCAAAAAGTGTCTCTGTTAATGAGATAAACAATCTGTTTGTTGTTTATGGAAACAGGCAGTAAGTGACTCATGCAGCCTCAACTCTAAATGAAAGTAGAAGAAGAAAATAAATGGCTCTTCAATTGAAATTCCACTGCAACAATAAGTTTTTATATTGTGAGACCTATTTACACCCCTTTCTTTCATTTTTAATGTAAGTAGAGATAGCTTATTTATCATTCAGTCTGATAAAATGCAAACTGCTACTGTGCACATCCATTTTTTTTTTTTTTTTTTGCCTTAGGTATGCAGCGAAAGACAAGAGGACACTCCAGGCTCACCACATCACCCATGTCCTCAATGCCGCTGATGGAAAATACAACGTGAACACGGACCAAGCTTTTACAGGGACACCGCCATCACTTATTATGGAGTGGAAGCTTTTGACATGCCGTCCTTTGACTTGAGTCCCTTCTTTCGCCCAGCGGCCAATTTTATCAAGAATGCTCTGAGTCTGCCCACAGGTGAGGAGGCTCTCTTGGCACTGAAGGTGCTTCTCGTCATTATCCACATGTTAACTTTGGGAAGGCGAGGCAGACTGTTGAAACATTTGTCAGTCAATTCCCATTACGGCGACCCCCAGTTGTGTTACTCATTAAAATGCAAATCAAACACTAAACATAATATCAAGCTAATATCTTCCCCCACGGTAATCTTCTCATGGGCTCAGACCTTTGTCGGGGAAATTAGTTTTAAATGGATTGCCCTGGTAATTTGTAAGCTAGACTTTTATTGGACATGGAAATTACACAATTATGTTTGTGGCCTGCGTCTGCATGGCCTGTTATGCAAAGTGAAGTCGGTATCTGACATGACAGTAATAAGATGAGGCCTCCTTCTTCACATGCCGGCTGATCGGGGGGCTCCGGCGTGTGGCGGGGTCTGCGGTAATCCCTGGCAGAAATACACAGAAGCCAAGACAGTTCAATTACTCGCTCCTCTGCTCCCTAATCCTCGGGCCTGATAAGAAACCCGGGATTAACGTGTGTAGAAACATTTGTTGCAAACATCGTTGAAAACTTTTACTTTGGAGTTAGAAGTGCTCTCTTTTCTGTGATGTTCATGGTTTTTAATCCACAGAGGAGTAACAAATTGGACGTTTAGAATGATGTCTGACACAATAATCCCTTGATTGCGTGGTTGCAAATGCAGAAATAAAGCCTGTAGAGAATGCCACAACAAGAAGATGATCCACTGGGTGTGTGTTTTTTTTGTTTTTGTGTGTGTGTGTGTGTGTGTGTGTGTGTGTGTCTGATGGTCCGCAGGTAAGGTTTTTGTCCACTGCGCAATGGGACTCAGCCGCTCCTCCACCTTGGTTCTGGCCTATTTAATGATCCACGAGAACATGACCCTGGTGGACGCCATCAAAGCCGTCAGCGCCAACAGGAACGTTTCACCCAACGAGGGATTCCTGGAGCAGCTCCGACGTCTGGACACAAAGCTGCACTGTCATTAGGCAGCTGAACCATCAGAGTGGATTTAGTTGAGCTTAATTAAATTGTGGCCTCTTGCTGATATGAAGCTGCTATAACGACAAACACTATGTAAATCATGTTGTTGGATTGTCTTTGTGAAACATATTCCATCTGCGATACAAACAAAAGCTAATAATAGCTTAAAAAATGTTATGACCTCGGACATGTAGCCATTACAAACTGAGGTGCAGTTGGTCTTTGATTCAGAATCATTCAGAGGAACAAAAACAACCGAGTAGAAACATAACCCATACAACGTTGCAAGGCACAACTATTTATTTGACTAATTTGAAAGAAAACTGACTGAAAATCAAAACAAATTTATGGATGGATGGATGGCTGTCCCCATGAAAAGTATTTAATTGAATGTAAACTAAATAATACTAATTCTACAATAATAATAAAAAATTCCTTATATATTTTAGAGTGACATTTCAAGAGGACAAAGCAATTAACAACCTATATGTGTAGCCAAGTAAAGCAGGAGATGCAGAAATATTTAAATCCCGCAGTGGTTCATTTTACACTTGCTGGTTCTCCGTCAACTCAAATTCAGAGAACAACATGGCCAGTAAAGGGCAAATTTCATCATATGTTGTTGCCAGAAACCGTAGGATTCTTGAGTGCGCTAGAATAAATATTTCACCACGAGGTTGCAAATCGCTTTTCCAAAGCAGATAAGTGAATTTCAACAAACATTTCTGTAAAAGTGAGGATTTTTATATGCAGGCGTGCATCAACTGCATCACAACAGATGAAGCGTTGACAGGTCGCCAAACGATGCAAAGGGTCTCCGGCGCCAACCCATCTGAACTGTCTTTACAAAATAGATTCTGACATGGCCGCAAGTTGGACAGTGAAAGACAGGCGAGAACCAGCTGATGTGGGATCTCAGGTCCCTCAGTGGCTCGGGTCCACCATCAACCCAACTCATGCACTTCATTGGAGAGGTGAAGGACCATTTATGATACAACTCAAAAGATTGTGACCTATGACTGAGCTGAGCAAAGTTGGATGAGACTAGTAGAGTCCAGCAGTCATTGGTTGTCCGACCTACAGGGACAAAAAGACTAACTGGACCAGGTAGAAGCACCACAGTTCTCCTCAGAACAGCTAACATTCAGCCTCATTGTTTACCTCACCTATCTTTGTTTTTTTTTTGTGGAATGTTCAAATTACTTGCAAAAAAAAAGTGTGTATTCTTATTTATTTATTGGGTTTATCTAAAATATTCAAATGAAATGCAGTTTGGGAAGCTGAAAAATTTTTGGCGCAATGCTATGTGACAATATTGGCCGGGATTGAGCCAATCCAGGGGCAGCACTCATTTTCCTTGGCACTGATTGGCTGTACCCCAAAGAGTGGGATTAAGGAAAACTGTGGGTGTTAGCTTCTGCAGTAGTGCCAAAACGGTTCCCATTGTGTTTATAAATGCATATTGAGGTATATTTGATGTCTGAACTTATAAAACAGGTAATAATACACATTTTCAGAGGGAGCCTCATCAAGTATTTGTAGCTTTTAGCAGTTTGTTGTCCATAAATCCTGCAATTACCAGGGTCCTCTATAAATGATTAGAGTTCTTGGGGAAATGCTAAGAAGTCCCAACTTATTGACTTGGAGTTGGAAGTGGAAAACGAACTGCCCAGTGAACCATACTTGGCAAGCAGAGCAAGCTGAAGCAAATGCAAGGTTAAGGCAGTCGTTGCTGGCAGTCATTAATCTATTACCAGAAGCTTTCTAACCAAAACTGTTAATTAGATGAATTGCTGTTTATTGCAATGACAGCCAGGATAGAGTGAGTATTTCTACTTTCACAACACTTGGGGAAAGTGTTGTGAAAGAAAACAGGTCAAGAGGGCAAATTGTGATTTTCAGCTCCTTCCATTTACTGAAGCTACATTTTATGCTGCCACTGAACATCCGACTATAATAAAGTATTCTGATGGCTTTCTGAATTATAATTACTGTCACAAGCTGTCATTCGCCACTGTGGAGAATGACAGGCAGACTGGCCTTGCTGCATTGTCCATCTGTTCGGTTTCCAAGCTGTTGCTTCCCAGATAAAGTTTCACCTTACATTTTCCTCATCGGTGGACAAATCACGGCATACACTTTCATCAAATGAGTTTACAATAAAGCTGGAAACGTTAATATCAGTATTGGATTCCTGGGAGGAATCTGTGTTAATTCTGGTCATGGACGTAGTTCTGAGGAGAAAGTTGGACTTTATCTACTCATCTTCAGAAGGTTGAAACTCATTTATATTTCAAAATGTTTGAAGGAATGTTTTGGGTTGGAATACAAATGAAATTTTTAAATCTAGGTTGTAACTTTTAAAACTAAAGTGTGCAATAAAGGCCCCTTTAATTGCTAAGCTGGTGTGTTTTTGTTTTGTTTTTTTGCTCTAATTATTCATCCACATGTGAGATGTTAGTTAAAGAGTTGAACCTCTGATGGCAGGGTTGTGGAAACCTGAGACATTAACAGACTTTCTGTGAAGGCTGAAGGGACTTTCCCATCATTTTTTTTTTTTTTGAGTTCAAAAGAGATCAGAACCAAAACATAAAACTAACTCAGCCCCACTTGTGCATCTAAAACCTCTAAAACATCTAGTTTGAATTTTTATTTAATTCAGGGTTTCTTTAATCCTCTTTTCTGGATGATTCAGTGACCACTTTCACTTCAGTCAGTTGCAAACATCTTGTCTGGATTTGTGATACAAAAACAACTTTTTTGTTCCTTGCAGTTTTAAAACAGATTACTGCAGACTAAATTAACTTCAAATTGTTAGCTGTATGGGGACAAGAATGCAAGAAGAGTTGCAGCTGCCAGATTAAATAGAAACAGGAGCAGGACCAAAGGTGCGTAAAGAGGATTGGTAACAGGAGTGTGAACAAAAGGGAAGATATCGAGAGGCTTGGAGAAGTGATTGCTGTGATGGGAATCAGGTGAGACTAACTGCAGCTGAAAGAGGAGCAGGAATTTGAGCACCTAAGAGAAAGACTGGCTGAACACAATTAACAAAGCAGAAATTAATACAGAAACCAATCAAAACAGAACAAAACCCAACACAATACTGTCTCCAAACCCCCCAAAAACACACAAATTATCATGATCGTATTTGTTGTAGAATTAAATGAAATGCGTAGCCCACTGATCTGAGACAGGGGTGAAGTCTAAATATTTTTTATGACGGAGATTGAAATCTTGACTTTGGCCAATCTTGTTTTTGATGCAAAACGACCACAGTGTTTGCCTTTGCATTTGGACTTTTAAATCAAGTTGAGAATCTCCCAGCAGAAATCCCTTGCTGCACAAAAAAAAAAAACTGTCAAACAACACAGTTTTATTGACCATCATTAGAAATCTCTAATGCGACCTGTAAACTTGAGCTCAAAGACTCTGTGTTCTTAAAGTTCACAGATAATATTCTTTTCTAACTGTGATTTTAAATGTGTTTGATTACAGCTTTGAGTCACTAGTCCAACATAAATGTTAAAACAGTCATTGCAAAGATGCAGGCTGGATTCTGGCACACAGGAATAAATAGCCTCAGTTTAGCCTCTGGCATGTTCAGCTGTCCATTTCCAGCGGGTTAACCGTCCTGATTTCCCGCTAAGTCTCAACACCGAGCAGACTGCAGCTGTTTGGTTAAAGTTTACTGCAAGGTTTGTGAAGACGAGAGTTGTGGTAAGTTCCCCCCTGTTTCTGAACCACATTTGGGAAAGTCATCTGGCTTTTAGGTTCAAATCGAGAGAAATATAAACGGTGGTAATCATATACCAACATCGAGGTGAGAATTAGCGGGTATGAGCTCAGAGGAGGAGTCAGTGGATCAGACACCGCCCACCTGCGGTCTGCTGGGCCTTCTGCTGAAGAACAGGCGTCCCACCGGAGCTGTCAACGAGGTCTGGCCCGATCTCTTTGTTGGGAACGCGTAAGTGACATTCTCACTTTGGGGAAATGTGCTGATGTGATTGTGAAACTGTTTCTGCAAACATGCTTGACCAACTGATGAGTTGGATATAAAAAAAAAAAAAAAAAAAAAATCTGTACATTTGAGTCACCAGTGATGCATTTTTGCAAACATATGCTGCCAGAGATTGCTGCGGGTGAGAAAAAACAGCAAAAAGTCACAGTCCTTCTATCATCTCTGGGTGCTATTTGCAGGGCGACAGCTCGAAATAAAACGCTGCTACAGAATCTGGGAATAACACACGTGGTGAACGCTGCAGATGGCCCTCAGCACATTGACACCGGGCCACGTTTCTACAGAGACGCCGACATACAGTACCATGGAGTAGAGGCAGCAGACTGCAGAGACTTTGACTTGAGCCCGTTCTTCTCAGAGACTGCTGATTTCATTCACCGAGCTCTGAGTCAGAAAGGTACGATTCAGTCAAACCGCATCAGGACGGAGGCGTGGAGGTAACTCATGAGGCACAAATGTGATGCATCACCAAGATGGATTAAATGTCAACAAAATCTGCAAAATTATGACTAAATAATGCTCAAATCTGTTGCTTTCTTGCTTCGCAAGAGGGAGAGTGTAAATATGTTTTAATAAGACTAAACAGTCTGATGCCTCCTGCATTTTGGAGTCTTAAGATGAATGTTTTATGTGGATAAATCACGTTCGGCGTACATTTTACTACATCTTATGCGAAAATCAATGAGGAAAACAACTTCAGTTAAAGGCTCATGTTTTATTCTATGTTTTGTAATCACGGTTTGTTGGTTAAAGATGGACCATTTTTGCAGCCTGGGGTGTAAACGTAAATTATTGATGGCTGTGCTGGATGCCAGTTTTATGGTTCTGGATTAGGGAGAAGTGTAAACGACGCCATATTATTTTAAGTGTGCAACCTTGTATTATTGAATTGCTAAAAAGCTCACTGTGCCTTGGAAAAGTATTAATTTCACACTTTATGCTGCAACCACAAACTTCAGTGTATTTTAATGGGATTTTCTAAGATGTGCAGATAGTAGAGCTTAACTGCTAATTCAAAATAAAATAAAGCATAAAAATCTCAAAACTGTGGCATACAGACACTAAACTTTTTGTTCATAGTGCTTTGAAAAATGGCAACATAGCTCAAGTTCAGTGAAGTTGGATAAAGGGAATGTTTAAAACAGTACATTCTTCGATCTTGCCATTGGACATTACTAAGACATGAATATGCTTTGCTCTAAGCTACATTGTAGCTCTGGCTGTATATTCATCGTTGACATTCTGCTGGACGGTGAATCCACACAACTCTCAAATCCTACGAAGCCTCCAGCACTTTTTTTCCATCCATCTTCCAGTTTCACCGACCCTACTCAAGAAAACTACCCCGCCAGGTGGGGGTACCTGAAGGTCGTTGAACCTTATTTATTTATTTATTTATTTATTTAATTAATTAAAGGGGACTGAACAGGAATGCACACATTAAAGTTTGTATTTGCAAAGAAAATGGGAAAACATGCTTTTGTCTCTGCCAACGTTGGTCTATCACATAAAATCCCAATAAAATACTCTTGAGGTTTTTGGCTGTAATGCAAGGAAATGTGAAAACTTTTTTTTTTTTTCAACACACTATATTCTGTGGTGAAGATTTGCAGGTGTTTTTTTCTCTGTGCAGGTAAGGTACTCGTCCACTGCGCACGGGGAATCAGCCGCTCGGGAACTCTGGTGTTAGCCTTCCTCATGATCAAAGAAGGTCTTACCCTGGTGGAAGCCGTGGAGCTCGTTTGCAGGAGCAGAAATATCCTCCCAAACACTGGGTTTCTGAATCAGCTCTGTCAGCTGGACTCAGCTTTGCGAAGAAGAAAAATGTAACATTCGGAGGTGGAGAGAACGCGTGGATGATGTACTGCTAAAAGGAGTTTCATCTTCATGAATACTTTATATTTTAAAAAGAACAAAAACAGAATCGGTCTGAATTTTGCAGTCCAACACATTTTTAATCATTGCCTTTTGAAAACAATGATTACAAATGTGTGTAATTCAGTGTTAACATTCTCATTACAGATATGTTTATTCAACAACGAGCTTAAAAGCATGAAAAATGTTTGCTCAAAAAAATCTTCAGGGGAAAAAAAAGCAGGACATATTACTGGTGTTCACTGCTTTGTCATCCCCTGAAATTGTTCACATTTTGAGATATATTTTATTGGGGTTTTATGAGTGCACTCTGCAATTTTAAGATATTTCTAAAAAGAACAAACTTTTGGAATAATAACTTTCTGTCCTTTCCACAACTACATCCTGACAAATATTTCAAGGATCGTGTAAACTTGACAGAAATAAATGAAGATTTGACTGACATATAAAATGGTCTAAATGTTAGTAATAATTTCTGTATTTTGAACCAATTTTATTTTAAAATAGAGCAAGTCATTTTAAGTGACCCACACAATTTTATTTGAGACATAACATAAAACTTAAAAATAAATAAAGTAAGTGAAAAACAACCACGTGACGTCATTACGCTGGGACCAACGTGACACAGTTTTTCCCGCCCGGTCTTTTCGTACACTTAACTGCTACAGCTACATCAGACACTGCTAGCGGATGAAGTTTCTCCCTGACTGCAGGCGAGTAATTCGGTACAAATTTATGATTTCTTGTAATTTCTTGCTCATGTCTACTTGCAGCCAGACGTGAGCATCAAATATCCGTTTCTAATTTCAGCGCTATCGTGGCAAAGTCATTCATTGGCGACTTTAGCTAGGCTATTCAATTTGCGCTGTTAGCATCTTGACTACTGACATTACCTTGCACAAGTTTAAAAAAAGAAGGAAAAAAAGCTAAGGTCACGCTAAAAACAATAAATAATAAAATTACACGAATAGTCATAAAATTACGAAAATAAAGTCATAGTATTACTTTATTCTGGCAATATTATGACTTTACTCATATTTTTAGTACCTTATTCTTATTCTCAGGATATTATGAGTTAAACCTCACAATACTATGGCTTTATTGTTGAAATGACTTTATTCTCAGATTATTTTGACTTTATTCTCATGATTTTATGACTATTTTCCTAATTTAATTTTTTCTTAGTATGGCGCTTACACTCCGTCATAGTTTTGCAAGTCACTGCATCTTGACGTGCAATCCTCATGGTCTGAATTAATGCAATATTTGACGACCAACAGGAGAAACACACGATTTCAGTCTTTAGGGAGAATTTCCCATGATGGATCTCAAATCTGCAGAATATCGCTACCTAAAACGCACCACCATTGGTATCAGACTGCCGGGACCCCTGCTGCACTGAAACAACACAGAAACAGCTTACGCCTATAAATAAACAATGCTCCACCTAAGTATTCATTTCAGTCCAGTGAAGTATGGTTAAAACTGTAAAATGTCTAAAAAGGCTTGATGCAAAATGACAAAAAATATGTCATCATGGTTCTGAGGGAGTATACAGATTCAGGTCAGACTTTGAAAGAGAGATGAAAAGCCGAAGCCATCTTAATAAGAAATGCTCTCCAGAGCTCGCTGGGAGAAAGATGCTGTCAAAATAAAAGGAATTGGATATCACAGGTTTAATGATTTCACTGTCAGAATGAATGATGGCGGGGTATGAAGATATGAGGCGGTGGGGGGGGGGGGGGGGGAAGAAAAAAAAGGGGCTCTAGGGCGGAAAAACGAGATGGGCTTTTT